GTCAAGTGCATGGTGAACGCATCACAACTTGAAATTTTATTTTACCTTTTTTAGATCTTCACGTCGCTACCTCGTCACTACGGTCGTAGTGATTATATCTACGGCTATAGTAGATTCATAATTCATTTATTCATTGTGTCATGTGGATTAACAGAGGTGTTACATAATAGTTTTCCAGCAGATGAACCCTGTAAGGGCATTGCAATGATAATTACTAACACAACTATTATGAAATTTATCAAAACTAATAATAAAAATTTAGATCACAATAATTAACATTAAGAAGCATAATAAGTGATACTTTTTTAAATCATTCAATTAATTAATTTATGGTCAAAATTGGACAAAATGATGCTTGAAGAAAATAAATTATTAACACAAAAAAAAAATAGTCCTAACAAATGTTCGTAAATTATGATAATATTATTATGTCAAAAACGTGATAAAAGTTAGGTATGTCAAAACCAGTTCAATAATAGTAAATGTCAATTAAGTATAAAAGGTAGGTCAATGATAAAAACATTTAGTTTATATATGTCACGTCAAAGGAAATGTTTATAAGAATTATTATTAATATTTATGCAGTTATTATCTTATCATTCAAATGTTCACCAATTGTATAATAAGTTTTTTGTATTAGTAGGTCTTTTAGTTTATATACAAATGATGACGTATCTTGTTCTGATTTGAAATTTTCCGGTATTTTATTGAAAATTTTAATTGACATAGCTAGGGGGCTTGATCTATGCATTTCCATTTTCGATGTTGGCATGATGAATTTGTTTTGGTATCTTGATAAAAAAAGCCAAAGCAACGTGCTAGGTCTCCTGTTTTATTTAAAAATTTGGCAATTCCTAGAATGTATATCGATAATAATGTTAATATTTCTTAATTCTTCAATATGGTTTACAGTTATCGGTATTCTTTAAATGTTTTATGATTCTTATGCATTTTTTCAGTAGGATTAATAGTGAACCTACTTGCGTACTATTTCCCCACAAAATTACCCCGTAGCTTAGCCATGCATAAGCGTAAGCGTAAGAGTAATATGCTGTTATGGCCATTTTTTCGTTAGAAATATCGTATCTTAGAAAAAATCACTAAAATGTTCCGTTGTGATGTGATGTTTAATGAATGGCAAACTTCACAGAATGGATGTGATACCGCCACACGTCCTGCATCCATACTTTTTTCGGACAAATTTCAATTGTTGAAAAGCAATGCAGCTTGACTTCAACTCATGTGACTACACTCTGAACTACCAGCTGCGAGCGTTGTCACTTGTCTGTGATGTTTATTTCTTACTCTCCATAATATACTATGAATTGTACTTATATACATAAACGCTAATTAGATTTGTGATGTAGATTCCAAACCTTGCGTTTCCTATCAGTCCAATTTTTGTCGTACAATATTGAGAGTAAATATAGTGACACGTAGGTACTCTGCTAGACATTATTAAGAACCCCACAGAAAGAAAGGCCATTTTGTTAGTTCAATGTAGCTGTACAAGGTCTGAAGCATCTCGACCTTGACACTTAAGATATAAATTGAACTCTATGGCGATTGTAAAAACAATGGTTCAAGTTTGATGTGCTCTTAACTATGCCTATTTAAGCTAGTTAGCAGCAGTAGAGCTCCTTGTGAAAGAGTTCATCCAGGGAAGTACTGCCACCTTACCTATTTCTGCCACAAAATAATAATGTTTTCAAGAGTCCGTACTCTTGTGCTGGTGAAATTACAGACACATGGGACTTGTCACTGCCTACCTTACCTATTTCTGTCGTCAAGCATCGCCCTGTCATTTGGTGTTATACAAAAAAGTTGTTAGTATGTGTCATTCCTGTATTTTACTTCTTGAATAAATATATTTTGTGTGCAATTGTAAAACATTATGCAAAAGAATCTGTAAACGGTTTAGTTTCTCTGACAAAATAATTGGCTTCAATACGAGAGAAAGCTCGGGCGTTATGGTCGGCGTCGTTTGCCGCGCTATGACCAAGTAGACCATCGCTTGAAACTCTTTTACTTGCATATTGAGTTGTCTAGTTAGAGGAAAGGCTTTTTAAAGGCTGGAAAGTTAATTTAGAGCCCACACAATGTCACCCAAATAAAAAATAATAATTTCAATCACGTGTCTGTGGCATGAGCGCTTAGAGGGTGGAAAAAAAATAAAATCACGAGCGTCAACAGTACCCACCTTTTTTATTTACAATTAATTGTCGACTACTTTTGTTTACTTGAAATAGCTGAATGAGAGATTTCTATAAGTTACTTAAAATATGTCAGAAGCCAGAACAGAAAAGAGAAATGATCAAAATAAAGCAAATAAAAATAAATCGTTGCCACATATTGTACGACCTAATGACTAAATGATGTTTCTGAACATAAATCTTTTATTAGATCTAGGCAAACGTGTGCGATCCTCACCTTCCAAAGGGTGAAATTATAAATAAACTTAAGGCTACAATTACAAAAATATATATACATAATTGCACTCGTAATTTATCAATGACATTAAACCTTTTCTGGTACCTCAAGGTTTGATTTGAAAATGTATAATACCTATATTACAGTAAATCTATTAAAAGAAGTTTTTACCTTTCTACCTGAGTAGTCTTAACATCATTGAATACAAGTAAAATAGTACGAAATTGCATAACTACACAACCAAGGTATACAAACACTACGAAGTTAATGATATTAGATTTCACACCTACGTTTCTTGGCGTATGTTGCCTTTTCTCGGAAAATTTAGATTTTCTCTGACGCATCTTCTCAAAAAAAATCTAGAATACCCAAGGTATCTTAAATTGGAATGTTTAAGTTTAACAAATACAGCATTTTTGACGTAAATACATATTACTAATGACTAACTAAAAATACAACTTTAACGGTAAGTATATATTCCTTATTGCACCAAAAATACGTCAGAAAACTTAGTTATAGAAAAAGTGAGCAAATGTGGACTTCTAAAAGAGATCTCTTCCAGCCAACCTAAGGCCGTGGATACAAAAGTCGTTCAAAAGGAAGGAGACAAATAATAAACTTAGCATGCAAATAGAAAATAAATAATAAAAAATAAAAATAAATAAAGACATTTTACGAGAGAGAGAGATTACGTAGAGAGTTCCGCAAGAAAGTGCGCTATCAACCTTTTCTTGACGGAATAGATTGGATGTGAGAAGGGAGTCTGTTCCACAAATGCTCGAGAACAAAAAGAGTTAAAAAAGAAATTTATATTGCAGCTGTGACGAACGAGCATTTTAGTGATGCAAGTACGTTTGAGCGGATAGGAGGGGGCAGCAGCTTAAACTGGCAACGAAGGTAGGAGGGGGAGTTATGGTCATTAAGTATATTAAATAGTGTGGACAGGACATGCACATCACGGCGGAGGCGAACTGGCAGCCATTTTAAACGAGCGCGAAATTCGGAGACATGATCATATTTACGCAATCCGAAAATAAATCCGATAGCTTGGTTTTGTAGGCGCTCTAGTTTGTTCAGAAGCTCTCCGGTTAAATCCAAGTAACAAACATCAAATAGTCGAGTATGGGAAGAAGAAGGGTTTGGGCAAGCATAATTTTGATGTGAAAAGGGGGAAAGTATTGGAATCGTTTGAGAGAATGGAATGACTAGTGCATTCGTCTACAGACCTTATTGACATGAGAAGTCCAAGATAAGATGCTGTCCATTACTAACCCCAAGTTTCTTACTTTGTCAGTATATGCAATGGTAATTCCATCATATACCAACGTAGGTACCGAGGACCAATCCAACTTGCACCTTAATCTGCTACTACCTACAATCATAGCTTGAGACTTAGCGGGATTAACCAGGAGACCAAATGACTTAGCCCATAACTGAATGGCACACAAATCAAAATTGAGAGCCGCTACAGTCTGAGATACCTCGCCCACCTCAAAGTTACGATAGAGTTGAAAATCGTCAGCATACAGGTGGAAGGGAGAAGAAATTACACGGGCAATATTATTAATAAAAATGGAAAAGAGTAAGGGGGAAAGTACGCCGTCTTGAGGCATACCAGCACTTAAGTTAGACCAAGATGATATTTATGTTAATATTAAATTATTTATGAATCTAATTAAAGGTAAACAGTTGATTTCTAAAGATACAAAGGCCTAAGATACATTAAATGCAAAAATACTGCTACAATAAATCCCTGTAGGATAATGCTTATTAGCATCATTGGGAAAGGTAGGCTTTGGGTGCATTACTTTTTGGAAGCAATTTTAAAGTAAGAAGGAACCTTATTAAAAAAATCCTTCTTTTATTTTTCCTAAAAAGAACGTTTTTTAAACTATATAACTAAGTTTTTTTTATGATATCAAGCGACGAGATGAACAAGTCGTGCGTCCAGTGATAAGCGACACGCCTGTCCATAGCACTTATAGTGCCACGCGGAACTTTAAATCACAAAAACCTGAGTGGCTCTGCTACTGCGCCCGTAACCTGAGTAATAAGTTGACAAATCCCATGTGCTTGCCAACACCCTTACGGTAAGGTGGCAGTACTTCCCTGGACGAACACTTTCACAAGGAGCTCTGCTGCTAACTAATTGTCTTTTTTAATAAATTTTGAATTACCCGTTTACACAACAGAACAATAAATATTGCACATTTTAATTTTAATTGTGTATTATAAAGTGATTTCCGAATGGCAATTGAAACACAAATATTTACAGTGAGTACCGATGCGCCATTGATATACAAATTTAAATTGTCATACAGTCCGCAGGATCTTATATTCGGTATTTTGTCATGAACACCTTTGGAGTACCTTGTATATAATATTTATTTAGTGCAACGACAATTTAAATTACCGCCAAAATGTATGGGTTAACATTATAACTACACGAGTTGTTAGTATGTGTATCTAATATAGTCAAGAGCACATCAACTTGACTTTTACGATTTTGGAGCTTTCTTGTTGTAAGTACCGCGTGACACAACTAATTTTTCTCTTTCATATTGTTTCAGATAGAAGCCATTTAGTGATAGTGTTAAGTGAAATAGCTTAGTGACAAATACCAATGTGAAGTGATGACAAAGTGCAGTGTGACAACATCACAAATGAAGCGGCGCCGAGCGTGGACACAAATCTCTTCAGGCGTTCAGTGAAACTTGCATCATGTTGCCGAATATTATTTGGATTACGATTGCAGGATGTATCGTATTTGGTAAGTCCAATTGTTTACTAAGTTACCACCATCCACTACAATATTTATGTAGGTATGAAGATTAGTGAGAGAATCGGCAGACTAGATTTAAATAAAAGGTACGATAGCCACCATTATACAATAACAAATTTCAATAATTTGCACCTTTGGTTTAAAAAGTTTTGGGTAAAAATTGCAACTTTTCAGGAGAGAGCTTTAAAGATTCTATGAACGAAATTCGTCTATGCTTTTCTGTTTTCCTTTTCCTTTGCATGCAACTTGCATGTAAGTTAGTGCGATTTAAATACAATAGAAAATAATTTGTTTGTTATAGTTAGTATTATTTTTATGACTTTTATGTTATAAAAACATTTTTGATGTATGATCAGGCTTTATTATACCTAGGTTACAAATTGATCTTATTCATAACAATAAAAATGCAACGTAAAGGATAAATTAAATTAATCAGATTGCCAAATAGTGTTATAAATAGTTCTCTTATGACACTAGTTCTTGTTGTCTACACGTAGTTAAGCACTTCTAAGTTCACTGGTCTCTAATTACTTATCATAAAAAGATTAGACGCTAAAGGTATACAGAGATATCCCAAACGTCTACAAGATTTGTAAGAAATGATTCTTACCATTAATACAAAGTACGTGTGAATAGATGGGTAAGATAATTATTACAATTATAGAAATATGCAACACTCGATTTTGTTATAGGGAGTGCAGTTAGATCCTGTGTAAAATAACATCCTAAACAATCTTGCACACCTTTCGGTGTCTTCTACATAGTAACTACACGTCAATCAAATGCCATTAATATCACTATAAATGTTACATGATAAAAAGAAACCTGTACTCCGCTTACGGTACCAGCGTGTATCATATACTGGCGTGCCAGTTTGTGGCGGGACAGGTGTCTCACACATGCAATTCTTCAAATCGATGCTTTGTGAATTTCTGTTAGCCTGGTATCTGAGAGAACACTATACCCCATAGTTCCCGCTGCATCGCATGTATTTATCGTTTGCATTTAAAGAAGGAAATAGAGTTACGTACCACAATATCACTGAAGATATATTATATAACATATGGAATTAATGGATTTATTCGACACTTTGTTGGATATATCTCCATCTTTAAAAACATAATAATATCTTGTTAACTATAAATTTACTATTTCTATAAAGATTTCATATCTACACACTTATCAACACGCCTGTCTTCGGCCGGGGTAGGCAGAGACAATGAACCTCTTTTACCTTCTCTAGTCGGAATAAGAAAATATTTGTTATTAGTTGGAAGTGTAAAATCGGTGACAGACAATTTTTCACGGCTGTTTTAAAATATTTACGTCCTGTTTCAATTTCAATTTTAAAAGTTAAACTAATTAATTATTGTAATTAATTATAACCAAAATGGAATTTTATTATATATATATATATATATATACAAATACCAATGTGACGTGATGACAAAGTGCAGTGTGACAACATCACAAGTGAAGCGGCGCCGAGTGTGGACACAACTCAGGCGTTCAGTGGAACTTACATCATGTTGCCGAATATTATTTCGATTACATATATATTATACACGACTTTAGACAGGAAAAATATAGGTACTTTTATTTGCAGTGTATAGTAATCGCTATAATGTAAGAAATTGATAATTTATTATCAAATTAAAACAGTTCTATCGAAAAAAAATTACACCACTTCAGAAAAAAATCAATTTGAACTTTCTCTATATACGGAACCTAAGTTTTAGTTCCATTTGGCATCTCAGGACATTAGATTCTTTAAAGCATTAGACGTTCTTAGAAATCACTAGGACGTAAGAACTTAGTAGTAGTTCTCTGAATCTAGTATTCTCGTATGCACGAGGCACATATATGTACAGACAGGTATCCCGCTTCCATTTACACGAGTGTACAAATTCAAAGTAGCAAATATCTTTTAATTCTTATCCATTGCTACTTTTCATAGAAGCATATCGTTTAGTATAACTAACTTTAAAAGTAATGTACACTAGACGTTTCAACAGTAAATGTTACTGTATAACTCCAGCGTTGAACAGAATACTTCTTCGGTGCATTCGAACACACATCCATAGAAAATTTTCCTATGATGCCTCCCTATATCTGTCTCTTTTAGACGCACGTCGAAGTGCATGCAGACGAGAGCATTTACAACACATAAACCTGAAATTGATAGCCAACTCGTACGTGTTTGTACAATGAAAACAGTAAAATGGTTCTTAATATTGGAAAACACGTTGATATAACAATTCTGGGAAGGGTTTCGCTTGATGTCGATGATCAAAAGGTTAGCGTTAGAAATCCTATCAGAGAAATTTGTCAGCGAATTTGTGTAACAAAACTATTTACTATACTCGTTAATAGTTGATAAACAGGATTTTGATGGATTTCTACACCAATAATAATAACGGTCTTGTCTTCATACAAAAGTTTTTGCGCAATGTGTGAAAAAAAAAAGCCAGAGATACTACTCCAGTTTTCTGACCTCAAACCAAAGAAATACCTGTATCTTGAGTACAAGATCATCAAAATTAACTCCGGAGCACTATCTAGAACACTAAGACCAGAAACAATTCGGAAAAAAATCATACTTATCCCAAATTGATGCTATTGGGAATCGAACCCTGGACCTTACTTAATTAGCACAATTAGTGCTAAATGAGTAAGGTCGCCGCCGTCGTCAATTATTTAAATAGATAATTTATTTTATAACACTCATAGCGTTTTTAAAGTAATTATTTCAAAATTACTGTAAAAATCTTCTCAGTATGAAATGACATCTACTTAAAGCATACCACGATCATCACCCGACTTCCTTAAATCAAAAAAGTATTTTCTCTGACATACTCCGTTTGCCCTATGTTGTCTTAGCCAGATAGAAACTCTCTAAGCGATTCTGCGTTCCTGGTAACTTCCAACGCACACGCGGCTCACAAGTCTCACAACACAACTTCCATATATATCAAGGTCGCAGCCTCACTTGCGTGATTCTATCTCTATCACACGCATAGGATTCCCATGCAATCGACAAGGTCACATAGATTTCTAGTTGTAACGCTAGTGCCTACGTGTGTGAAACTTTCTTACCTACATACTCATTCTTGATAACACTGCAAAAAGCTATGGTGGAACATGTGTTATTTACGAGTACTAGTTAGAGGCTTTTGTGAAAATGAAACATTAAATTAAGTTTTAGTACTTAGTAATTAGCTTCTTGATTGTTTATGTTTAATTCAGACCAAAATTCGTTAACTTGGAAATGGTGCAAATTTTCTACAATCAATTATTTGTTTCAAAACTGTTTGAAAATGCAAAAACCAATCATACCACTTTTAGAAGTAACAATGAAAAAGTTGGTAAAGTCATGTTTAAAAGCTCAAGCATTACCCAGAGAAAGTGGAGAAAACCGATAACTGAATTTACAGCTGTGAAGTTATTGTAACGAGTATTATAATGTATTTTTAACTAACTTAAATAGCTGTTCCGCAACCCCTAATTGAAATTTGAACATATGAAAAACGCCCGTTAGGTAACGGGCGAGTATTCCAATGTGAACTCGAAGGGAAATTAAAGAATAAAATTCAATTATTTTTTGTGAAATTACTCCACTACTTTGTTATTATAATTTATTAATGCATAGATCGAACACTTAGAAAAAAATCCTTCGATCCGGCCGGATTCGAACCGACGTCTTCTAGCAAACCGTTCCATTTTTAGAAGGATTTTTTTCTAAATGTTCGATCTTTATATTAATAAATTATAATCAATTGGTTGATATGACATACATAAAGTTCCTGTCATCGATCAAATTAAAATTGAAGCAGATGAATTCGATGTCATGTAATACAATCGTGTACTAAAGAGCTATTTTATCACCCAGCGTTAAATGACCCAAGAACGCATATAAAAACTTGAACATTCTTCAAATCGTTAGGCAACTGTCTCCACGGCGCAACCCAAGTTATAAAGAACAACATCGTTAACATTGAAATGACGGCGTCGAATATAAACTTGATGATTAATATAAACTCCCAGCCCAAAATGGGTGATAAAAATGTTACAGCACTGGCGAGTAAAACGTTCTGTTTTAGTACTAGATTTTAATTAGAAAATACGTGGTTAGGCTGAATTGGAAGGTGGTTAACTAAGGTTAACATTGAAAAATGAAAGGAACAAAATTGCATTTTTAGAAACAATCAAGGCTGCGCGACCTAAATCTTTATGAAAAAAATATCTCAATACGATAATAAACGCATGACGGCATTTTGCGTAATTTGTGCACCAAATAAAATTCTATATAAATATATTAGTTCTACATAACTGTCTCTTACAATACTTCATACAGGAACAAAAGGTTAACTTCAGATCGAACCGATAGTTGTAAATCTTATAACGTCTGTTAGTGCTGCCGCGTATTCTGGTCAAAAGGATGCCTTTGCTGGCAACAGCATGTTTCCCAATTCAATCTGAAATTTAATTTAGAGTTACAGTTCTTTGTCTGTAAAAATTTTATTTATTACAATGAACAGTCAAAACACGTATTTTATCGATATCGAATCTCGAATGATCCGTTTGGGACGAGGTAATTTTAGCGAATTGGTAACCTCGCCTGTTCGCTACAGATCAATGATCGCTTTATTGATTTAAATATTTTGTTGTGTTCTTTTTATACAATATTTCCACAAAATCCACAAACGAGCATCTGTGACAAAATCAGGGAATAATAAATAGAAGAATAATATTTTTAATATATATCACGTTGTTTTAATACCATGAAAAATCAATTATTTTTGTGAAATTACACGGCGCTACGGCAAAAAGTCGTTAAAAACCAAGAGCACATAGAAAAATTTGTAAGGTCTGCTGGTTCGTTCCGTAGCTCAGCGGGGAGAGCGTCAGCCACGGTATGCTAAAGGCGCTGGTTCGTATCCAGCCGGATCGATGGAATACTTCTTAGTGTTCGATCTTAGTTCTAAAAC